GCTGTGTGTGTGGAGGGAGGAGGGAGCCGGGCTGAGAGGAACCGCTGTGTGTGTGGAGGGAGGAGGGAGCCGGGCTGAGAGGAACTGCTGTGTGTGTGGAGGGAGGAGGGAGCCGGGCTGAGAGGAACCACTGTGTGTGTGGAGGGAGGAGAGAGGTAAGGTGAGTGGAGCTGCTCCGTGTGGGAAGGGAGAGGGAGCTGAAGCCCGGGGTGGCGATGGATGTTGCTGGGGGAAGCCCAGTACAGAACCTTCTGGAAGCAGTCCCCTCACTCACCATGTAGTAGCCGGGCAGCAGTTTCTGCAGGAACTCCGCCTCCTTGTGCATAACCGTCTTGATGATGAACTCATCATCGCTGGTGACGTAGAAGAGGGAGCCACTGGCACCCGGGTTGGAGAGTTCAATCAGCGGCTCATTGCACAGGGAGTACTGCAGGGGGGAGGCATGGTGGTGAGGGGCCGTGGTGGTGAAGGAAGGGCTGTGGACATGAGGGGTGACCGTGAAGGTGAGGAGGTAGCCGAGGCAACGAAGGGGACTGCAGAGGTGAGGACGGAGGCCGGGGCGGTGAGAAGCGGCCACAGCAGTGAAGGGAGCTGTGGCAGTGGGGGCTGGCATGGCGGTGAGGGAGGCCAGCCATGGAGGGAAGGGTGCCTGTGGATTTGAGGGCAGGTCATGGCAGTCAGGGAGGGGTCACAGAGGTAAGAAAGGGGCTGCAGCAGTGAGGGGGCCACGGCTGGAGGGCAGGTGGTCCACAGTGTGGGAGGGGGCATCAGCTGAGGGGGTGTCTGAAATGGTGAGGGTGAGCAGTCTGCACCCCTCAAGTGCCTAGGGCAGATGGACTCTGGCCTTTCTTTTGCCCCACAGTCCTGGAGCTGCTGGCTCCATTTCAGACAGAGGAACTGAGGCTCAGAGAGGGCCATGACCTGCCCAAGGCCCCACAGCCAGGACCCTAGGTCCAGGCTAATCCCACAGCTTGAGCGCTGATCTGCAGGTCATCTCCCGGGTGCTGTAGTAACAGACACCTCTGTTTCATTCCCAGCTTCCCTTGCAGCTAGGTGTGGCCTGGAAGTCAACCCTGGTTAGAGAGTCATAAACATACGCTGCTGAGTGGGCCTTCAAGGAAGCTCCTACAAGGATGGCAGGCCGCTGACACACCTCTTATTGACCCTTCGCCCTTCCCCATCTATTTCCCGGCTGGAACACAGATGTGATGACTGGAGCCCTAGTTACCATCCTGTACCAGGAGGTGACCTTCGAGGATGGAAGCCATGTACAAAAGACAGCAAAGCAGAAAGAGAAGGGAGCCAAGTCCTGGTGAGCACCATCCCCCGACCCTCGACCCAGGCACCCCCAGCCCCAGCCTCTTCCTGCTGCCGTGGGAGTTCCATCTCCACGTTCACTTCCACCTCCCCACGCCCCTCCCCCACCATCAGACAGCAGGTCCGCCTCTCCTACTGCAGTGCCCAGCACACAGCAGGCGCTCACAAACTGTCTGTGAAGCGGATGAATGGAGGGGGGCCTGCAGGGAGCTGTCCCCAAACCTCTTCAGCTTGTGAGTCAGTCTTTTTTGTGGCTAAGATTGTCTGGGTTGGGTTTTCTGTCCCCTGCACCCCCAAAACCCTAACTGAGCACTGCTGGTACCCACGGCTGAGGAACTGGGGAGCACCCACAGCGCTGAGGGCCCAGGCCCATCCGGGGCAAAGGCTGAAAAGTATTTGCTGAAGGAGCATGTGAACGATGTGTGACATGTGGGGGGCTGGGGTGGGATGGGAGGCATATGGGGAGACACAGAGCTGTCTGTCCCTTTGCCCTCTGGGGTGTCAGGCGTGCATGGGGGGCTGTCGAGTAGGACTGTTTCTCCAGTGAGTGTGGCTGTGAGACCTGCTGGGGCCGGAAGCGGCAGACAGAAGGCGCAGGGCACTTCTGCGACAGCTTTAAGAGTGGTGACTGCCACAGCACGCTCTCTCCACTCTCCCCGTCACTGGCAACACTGGGAACACTGAGGAAACTGGGCTGAGTGGAGGTGTTTAGTGTGTGTGGGAGGACTGCTAGGGTTACATCCCAGTGGAACTGCTCTGTGTGCGAGGTGGGAGTTGGGGTTGAGCAGAATTGCTATGTGTGTGGAGGAAGGAGGGAGCTGGCCTGAGCAGAACTGCTGTGTGTGTGTGTATGTGTGTGTGTGAGATGAAGACAAGGCCGAGCCCACTGAGTCAGGTGGACGTGCAGCGTCCATGAGGCTGCCACTGCGGCCTACCTCACTGCTCATGCCTCAGAGCCCACCACAGAAGCAGGGAGCCCCTTGTTCGCTGACCCACCCTTTGAGGGACCCCAGTGAGTCTTGTGCAAATGAACCAAATCTGGGGCTCCAGAGCCAAGTGGCCCCCAACAAGGAGCCACAGGATGGCTGCCCTTGGGGCCACAGCCACCACCCACCACGCCCAGCCAGCAGGCTCCCTGGTCCCAGCCAGGTGTGGGGTAAGGCAGGGCATGGGGAACCCTGTGCTTGAGTCCATGTATCTGGCTTCACAAAGCAGCAAGGCGGGTCAGGTGGTCCTAGCTGCAGCAGAGAGAAGATGTCACGCCTGGACCTTTCTAGGATGCAGCGGGCCCCTGCCTGTCCACAGGAAGAACAGATGGCAACACCGCGGGCCGTGGGAGCCGAGCTTGGCTTGCCCCCATGTGCCATCAGGGCATGCAGAGCAGGCTGCAGACCCGAGGGGTGACATCTCTGGGCTCTAAGAGCACCAGCCTGAAGGGCCAAGAGGCCGCAGTGCCACACAGACAAGACCCCTCAGTCCAGCCACACCGGGGGGCAAGTGCACCAGCACTCACACCCAGTGGCGCTGATGGCGCCCAGGGCCCTGGCAGCGCCAGCCGTGCCCGTTCCTAGTGCCATCCCCTTGCCCTCTGGGGGTCACACGTGCCAGCGGGGCTGTCCAGTGGGACTGTCTCTCAAGCTAGTGTGGCTGGGAGACTTCTCACGAGCTGGAGCCCAGGAGGACAGTGCCGAGGGTGGCTGCTGTCAGGATGGCAGATGGCACAAGGCTGTGTGCAGCACAACAGCAATGCGTCAGCCTGCAGGGAGCGAGGAAACCACGTCACAGGTGACTCAGGGCTGGGGAAGACGAGTCCACACCGTAGCCATCACCAGGCCTGGCCAGCTGTCCGTCCCTGCCCTGCCCACTGCCGAGAACCACGAGTAGGCACGCCGGAGGACAGAGACACCCACAGCTGGGTCCTTGCCCGCCCCGGGCACAGACACAAGCAACACAGGGTAGGAAGCGGCCCTTTGGGACATGATAGGGCTCTGGCCAAACTAGACAGACAGCCCAGCTCCATGGAGCCCACAGCTCATCCTCCAGGTGGACATGGTCACCTTCAACAGCCTGGATGTCCCTCCCTGGGGTACAATTCAGAGCGCCCTCCCACCAGCAGGAGAGAAAGGACACTGGTGCCCATGGAGTGCACACACTCAGTTCTGTCCCCGAGAAAACACTCAGGGCACCTCCTCTTTGTCCAAGTAGAGAAAGTGCTGGAACCAAGCTGCTACCAACAGATGTCCCTGGAGAGCAGGACCAAGGGAACAGTGGACACAGGCCTTGGTGTGTATAGGATCTCAAGGTCTCAGAGAGACCCCAGGGGAGGGACCGGGCAAAGTTGTGGGGCCAATGATCCCCGAGTGACCCCAAGGGGGCTCTAGCAGCCAGGGTGGTTCCTGCTGGCCAGAGTGGGTGGGTCCAAGGCCAGGGTCTGCAGGCCCTTACTTAGAACATAGCCCAAACCTCCTCCTGGTTCCAGCCCCTGCCCTCCCGCTGCCCTGGGGCCAGTCCTATGGCTCTGGGCTCAGGTGGGGCAGTGTAGGCTTGGGACAGCACGTGACCTAGCTATCCAATCACAGAGAAGCAGGGGGCCTTGCCACATCCAACAGCCTTTGAGGCCAGGCCCTGGGCGGTGCAGATGGTTCCCGCCCTCAGCTGCTCACTGGAAGGTTGGAGGTTCAAGCCCACGCAGAAACACCTTAGAAGAAAAGCCTGGTGACCGGAAGACCCTACAGAACACCATTCTACCATGACACTCATGGAGTCTCAAATCAGGGTTGACATGATGGCACACGGTTTGGGGGCAGAGGTGGTTCAGTGGCAGAATTCTCACCCTCCATGTGGGAGAGCTGGGCTCGATTCCTGGCCAAAGCACCTCAGCGCAGCCCCACCTGTCTGTCTGTGGGCTCGCATGTGGCCATGACACTGAACAGATTTCAGCGGAGCTTCCAAATTAAGATGGACCAGGAAGAAAGGCCTGGTGACTGACTTCTGAAAATCAGGCAACGAGAGCCCTGGGGATCCCAGCAGTCAGACGTGCAACCATTACGGGGGGCCAGGACCGGACAGCACCATCCGTTATGGGGGAAGACAGGACCGGATGGCACCATCCATTACCATGGAGGCAGGACCTGACAGCACCATCTGTTATCAGAGAGACAGGACCAGACAGCACCATCCGTTTTGGGGGCCCAGGGCCAGACAGCACCATCCATTATGGGGGGCACAAGGCCGGACAGCATCATTGGTTACAGGGGGGCACAGGACTAGACAGCACCATCCTTTATGAGGGGACCCAGGACTGGACAGCGCTGTCCGTTACAGGGGACCCAGGACCAGACAGCACTCGGTTTTGTTGTGTACAGGGTCGCCATGAGTCAGGCCCTGACTTGATGGCAGCTCACACCCACAGCAGCCCAGATTCTAGGTGCCCCCCACCTCCACTTTGCGACAGTGCTCTTCACTTGTCCACTCCCCTACTCACGGGTGCTAGCGCCATCTCCCCACCACTGTACACAGTGCTGGGGCTTTCCATTTACAGCAATGGGAGGATCCAGAATCTAGATTACCTGGGAGTCTTTTTTCCTGCGAAGTCACCAGACTGTACCCAGAGTACTTGGTGTTGCCCTGTGGGGCTCGCAGGGAGAAAGGGGAGCCTTCGAGAGGTCGATGGGGTGAAAAGGGAGATGCCATGGGCTGGAATGTGGGCAGTGCCAACACTGACAATGAAGTCAGAAGACTGGGCCCTGGGCCTCGACAAGGGACACTATTACTCCTAGCATCCGAATGGGACTGAGTCCCTGGGGTCAGATGTGGTCCTGGCTTAAACGATACTGGTCCTTTCTGGAAGAATGTGGTCTTAGTCGAGGACCTGGCTTCCCACAGGTTAAGATCAACCAATCATATTTCTGGACTGGAAGGGAACTCACTCCTATGGCTTCCAGCCAAACAGGCATATAAGGTAAACGTTTACACCAGGTAGGGACACTCCTTAGAACAACCAACCGTGGGAGGACAGAAGGGTAGTGCTTGCACAGAGAGACAGCTCGGGGGGCAGGTGTGCAGGAAGGGAAGGACACAGGGCAGAGGGAACTCCAGGGAGGAAGTGGGAGGGGAGCTGTTACACTGTGGGGAACTGCAGTCAACGTCATCAAATAAAACATGTATGAACCGCTGTATGGAAAAAATAAATTCACTCTGTAAACTTTCACCCAAATCACAATAAAAATTTAAAAATTTTTTTTAAAATTTATCAACCAAAGATGAGCTCACAATGAAAGACCACCAAACACAAGGAAACAAGTCACCATGAGGGCATGTCAGCAGAGCCAACCAGCTCACTGTTACGATCAATCAGTGTTCCCCAAAAAGATGTCCTCCAGTCGTAACCCGGCACCTGGGAACATGACCTTGATTGGTAACAGGGTCTCTGTTCTCAACTTCATTGTCAGTGTTGGCACTGCCCACCAGCACACCACCCCCACTCCAGCTCACGGCTTCTCCCTTTCACCCTACCGACCCCTTGAAAACTCCGCTTTCTTCCTGTGGGCTCCACAGGGCAGCACCAAGTGCTCTGGGCACAGTCTGGTGATTCTGCAGGAAAAATCAGGTGAGTTTACATGAGGTCACGCTAGAGTCAGGGAGGGGGGTGCTCCTCGTTCAGTATGACTGGTGTCTTTATGGGAGAGGAGACTGACAGACAGCAGAGAACTGCCGTGTGAACGTGACAGGGCCGCACGGACAGTAGAGTGCTGCCATGTGGGAGGCAGGGCCACACACACAGGAGAGGCCGCCGTGTGACTGAGGCAGGGCTGTGCAGACAGGAGAGAGGCCGCCGTGTGAACGAGGCAGGGCCACACGGACAGGAGAGAGGCCGCCGTGTGAACGGGGCAGGGCCACGTGGACAGGAGAGGCCACCATGTGAACGGGGCAGGGACACGTGGACAGGAGAGAGGCCGCCGTGTGAACGAGGCAGGGCCACGTGGACAGGAGAG